CCAGAAATCAATTTAAAGGGTAATAAAATAATTGCTGATGTAATATTTTCCCTAAAATTATTTAAAAAAAAAACAAACTAAGTAACAATAAATATTTATATTTGTGTACAAGCTGTTTAGATTGTCATAAAGCCTGTGTTTTTAGGGTTATTAACAAATTCATGTACTCAGACCAGTAATACTTGGGGTCACAAGTTTTTGCCATGGATATTTTGTGGGTCAGAAGACAAAAAGTTTGGGAACCACTGTACTACATTATTATATACTTTTGTCATTTCCTTAAAACGGTGTGCGTTGATGTTTTTTGAGAGTTTAAATATAAAAGGAAAATAGAAATGCATAAAATTATTTTGGCCCTAGAATATTTTCCAGTTATTGGCTCACATGTTTGGACCCCTTTTGTTTTGAATGTTTTGACTCGCTTTTGCTCGCAGTCGAAACAGCAGCTTGCCTCGTTGCTTCGGGCTGAGCAGGTCGGGCACGGCTGTTGTCACCAGTGCCACAAACTGCTTTTCATAATCGAGGACATCTCTCCGCTGAGCCACCTGCCACATCGCTGCGGAAAGTAGCCTCAGAGGAGGGATAAGCTTCAGAGACGACAGGGGCAGGAATATATCTGGACATACGCACACGTTAAAGCGGATGAACATAAATATGAAGACAATAGTTGCAATTAAATTAGCTGTTCACCTACATTTCTATAAGAAACTTTTCTGCGGGCTTTGACCCTGAAAGAAGCTTCAGGTTTCAGCTTACCAAAACTACCAAGCCCAAGGTACTTCAAAAATAGTTAAAACAGAAATATTTCGTTAAAATACATTTTGGGAAATAATTGTTTAGTAATTGACCTAAATACTGGACACTTCACAAAATATCACAGCTTTACACGTCAGAATAACAGCTTAAGTGTTAGTAACTCCTGCATGTCTAAAATATGCTGCAGTCTTAGCTTAGCTAACTTCCATCAGCTGTTAACTGCAAAACAACGACCCGAAGGGAGTAAAAATAAAGACAAAAGTAAAACGAACCTGTGTTTTTCACCTGGCAAACGTTTTCCATACTGTAGATATTACCAAAAGACTTTTAAAAATGTTTGAAAAAGTAGCGTAACTTAGCATGCTAGCTGCTAATAATAGTTTATTTTACCGGAAGCATCAGTTACACTTCAAAGTAAGAGTCTTCAAACTTATATAAATAAATTAGTTCATTGCCATCAGTGCAGTTCTCTCAAAAAACAGAAAATGATTGGATGTGTGTGCATTGAAAACGCAAATGCATTCTGTGAAAAATACAAAATAAACATTAAATAATTTCCATTATGCATAACAGAGCAGATGAAAGAGCCAAAACACTTTATTTGTGCTTAAATTGTTCATGTGCAAACCCTCAAGACTTGTTTTCTTGAAATTCTTCAAAAAAGGTTTTCTTTTGGTGTGCAATTATACTTTTAAATCTTGTACATTCTCATTGATCGATATGTTCACCAAATGGCATACTAAAACTGTAGACATTAAATAAAAATAATAAAAAAAAACATTTACAGAAATAACATACAGGTGTTTAGAATAAATTTAAAAGTGAATAAGCCCTGGGAATAATAGTCAAGGTGCAGTGAGTTTTTATCAATACTTTAAATTTGTATCTTCTAAACAACAGAAACCCACACAAGCTACAGCTTAGAGAAGGGTTTCTGGGGCTCGGAGGTCTGATAATAAGGTCAGGATGTCATGTCCAAGAAGCTTAAATATCGTAAATCCCAGCTGTAGAAACTTGAAGCGTGGCATTCAGTAACAAGGCGTTAAATTCAGTGAAAGCTGGGTTAGCCTTCTCCAGAGCAGGACAGACCCTGCGCTCCATGTCCTGGTCTCCAAAGTCATGGGGACAAACCTGCAACATACATAATAAGAGGATACACAGAAGTGGATAAACAAAATAAAATTGTGAATTGTAACATATCTTTCTGCCTCAAATGGTACCAGTCAGGAAAACTTACATCTAGAAGCYGAGATCAAACCCACTGTTTATCTCACAAATATGACATCTTTGTTCTAGATTTGTTGTGAATTAGGCAAACTAGTTAGGGTGGCCAAGGACATCTTATAAGGGGGACAGTATATAAAAAACGATATCTGGATTACATAATTGAGAAAAAAAATATGGAAGCAAAACATGGTATGGTCGGACATTTTAAAATCTGATCACAAGATTCTGTGAAAGTTTGTGACGTTCAAGCACACTCGGAATTTTCAGTTACACGGTAGCCCCACTTACGTCAAGGCAGTAGCTTTCAAGAGCAACTACTTTGTCCTAGAAAATAAATACGAACTACACAAACTTACATAAACGTTTCTAAAACAAAACTACATTGACACGTCTTACACTGAGAAGTTAGCAGCGTCTTTTAGTTCTAAGTCGCGTTTCTTTAGGATTAGCTCAATTTCCGTAGCCGCCCTTAGCCAAAAGAAAAAGAAAAAAAAAAAGAAGAAAAAACTTGTTCGCTCCGTCCTACTCACCTCAAGGGATGAGGAAATGCACAAGAAGGAATAAAGCGATGTCAAACATTACAAACACCCAGAAGTCCAGCCAGTAAGAGTGTTTCGGTAAAGAGACAAGTGCTTCTTTAGTTTTAAACATCTTTTTATCATCAGAATCCGTCACAGGAGACGCGCCAGACCCCATCTTTGGCTGCAAATTGAACTCACCCGGAACAGGAAATGCACTATTCCTTCAAAAAAAAAAAAAAAAAAAAAAAAAAAAAACCTTCAAAAATAAAAACAAATAAAAAAAAACAGTTAAAAACCTGTCTGAACACATTTTCATCGTGCCAGTCTTTTCATTAAGTAATGATTTTTGAAAACCTAGCTGTAGTCTGTTAAAGGCCTTTTTTCCTGTTTACTTTAAAACGTTACTTCTACGTCATGACCACTAGATGTCAGTAAAAACTCACTAAATAAACTGGTAGGATCATTCCGGATCAGGCATACCAGTCTTAAGTTTGATTTACATGTTAAAGAATATGTTTTAATCAGAATGCCCAAGTGATTAGGTTTTGGCTGTATGAATATTAAAAATTGAATATACACATCTATAAACTGAATTTTTGCTGCCAAAAGGAGGAGGTAATCATTTTGTTGATGGCTGTGACCAAAATATCTAATGAACAGATTTAAATGAAACTCTCAGAAAGTAATAATTGATGAAGTCACCTTACAACTGATAGAATTAGTAGTTTATCCAATTCAAGACTGTCACCACAACTAATTGATATTACCCACACACACTGACACAAAAATAGCTACACTTGAGCCAGTGTTACAGATACTGAGCAAAAATTTGTTGTAGAAGTAACTGAAGATCATTCACAACACATTTTCAAATTGACATACTTTCAAATGTATTTTCCAACAGATGACACAAACTCCACTTATCGTTTGTTGAGTGACACCAAATACCATTTATTGGGGTTTTACAAAGACTACAAAATCTTCCAGATGAGTTAAATCACTGTCTCTCTCTATTTACATGATATGTTACATACAAATGTACAAAATATAAAACATTTCCAGACAAATGTTTCACTCAAAAAACAAAAAAGATTAAATTTTCTCTCAAACCAGATTAAATGCTATGGTCTCAACTGAGATGCAACTGTAAAGTGTAAAGTTGGATAAAAACAGCCATCAACACAAAGTGGTGTCAAAACTCTGTTATTTTGGGAGTTAATGGCCTAAAACAGGAGTGTACATAGGTTTGGTGTATGGGTCTAAGTAATACGCAACCTGTTGTAATTTCAACCCTGGCATGCAACTACAGACGTAAGGCAGACTGGTCAGAAGAATGTGTGCACCGTTTGAGGCTTGGCTTGCAGAGACACATGAAGCTGAACACAGGTAGAGGATAGGTTTATCCTGAGGTTGTGACAACAAGACGTCTTGGTCTCTGATGGGCTTTTTAACTCACCGTTAGCACCTGTTAGCTGGTTTGTACAGTACGGTGTTGGGTCAGCTTCGGTGCCTCTGGCAGCTAATGACCCCAACATGGCGGTGGATTAAAGAAAGTGGTTTTAAAAGAACAGTTTGGTCATTTTCGAAGTGACGTTCTATCAAACAAATTGTACCTCATCAGCCATAACATCAGTCAGGAAGCACTGAGCATCAAGAAAGAGAAAGAGGCCCAGTCCCAATGCTCAGTGCGCACCCTACGCCCCTCTGTGAAGTGTGGATTCAATCAAAGTGCACATAAGTGTTGGAGTGCGCAGGTTACAAGCGTGCAAAAAATTGAGAATTGGGACAGTACAGATTACGTCATTGACTTGAGCCTCTGCGTCGTAACTGCGACATCCAACATGGCGGGACCAGTCACTGTTTTGGCATTTGTATTGCTAAAAATGATAGTACAACTACAAAAAGCAATCGTTTTTAGGAGAAGAAAGTGCATGAAGCGAATGAGGCTTATACATCAGAGTATGAGAACAATTGCATCTATAAGTTCTTCTTTTGGTTTTATTGGTGGTTGGCAGACTAATTTAAGTGCATTACTGCCACCACTAAACGGGAAGGTTCTCAGTGGACATTTCAGATTTCTGCCTTTTAATTCAAAACGTCACACACAGCGATGAATTGTGGGTAATACACATCGCCGAGGTCTGTAAAAATGCAGACTTCGCATAAGGGTACATAGTACAAAAATGGGCGGGGCGAAGGGCGGATGTGGAGAATGTGGGACACACTACGCACTCAAACCCTTCAACATGAATGTGCATTTGAAGTTCACAAGGGTGAACAAGAACGAGGGTGGGAGTGTGGGTTTTGGGACAGGGCCAGGGTCATCCTGGCTAGGCTAAAGGCTAGCTAAACAATAAGCCCGTAGCTTTACATGCTGAAATGCTACATTAGCATTTACCTCTACATTTTTGCATGACATTTAATTTGCCATTTTTTCAACCAAAATTTGTTACTATGCAAACATTGGTGTGTTGGTGTGTTAATGTAGCAGGACACACATAATAGTGTGTTTTTGACATTATGTTGTACTTCACAAGAAAATATATTTAAAAATCAAATAGTTGTTTCAGCTAGTTGTTAGCTTAGCCTAGAGGAAGACTTATGGGCTTTTRGTCATACTTTGTGTTCTGTGACTGAACTCATGGCTAATAAGTTGGACTAGGAATGCACTGATTTCAATACAGTGTACTCGTCCCAAGACAGCTTCTCTGTCAGTTTAGCTCCCGTTCCTTCCATATAAACTAACAGGATGATAGGTGAGTAAATGGGACAAGAAGCCCCACTACTGCACAAATGCTGGTCCTAAAAATACAACATGGCAGCTCTGTAAAAATGTTCCTTCTGACATCATTCAAAATAAACAAGAAGGTGGGACATTTGGTCTTAGACTATTATATGTCTATGACTCATACTCAAAAAAGTGTTCCAGTACCACTTTACAAATGATTAAAGTTTACCTCCCACTTGGTGGTAGAGGAAAAGTAATGTCCTCCATGTTTTTTTTTCTAACAGACTGTCCTGATCTACACACACTTGGCGGTGGTAATGCATCTTGCTAAATGCCAAAAAAAGAAAAGAAAAAACTGGAATTTTTTTGCGTGGATGTATTTCAAAGTGAGCAATAACAAAAGTAAAATGGACTGCAAAGTTGTCAAGAGTAGGAACGAAATCTAGAACTTTCAAGACAAGCAACTGGATCCTACATAAATAATTTTGTAGTTCAAAATTGTTACAAATGCGCAAAGTGGGCAAGCTCACAAGTTTTTCGGGAAAACATTGAGGTGCTATAGAAATGCAATTGGAATTGAACAAATTCAACTGCTATACAGACCCAGTGTATTTGCTCTAAACAGATTTATGTTAAACTTTCCTTTAGCATAGATGAGATTTTTCATTAATGTCTAAGCTTAAAATCAGATTTTTTGAGCTTGTTGAACAGCGATCCTCAAATTTTTACATACATTATCTGCCACGAAGGGATAGGATCCGGGTGGTCTTGTCTTGTTTTTTTTACCTCAGATAAAATGTTTGGAGCAGACATTGAGTTGCACTTTTTTCCAATCAAACTCGTTCCATCACTCGAATTCAGCTGTTAGCTAGCATCTTGGTTTGGAAAAAAACATKAAAAAATACGTGCTAAACGTCCATGTGGGGACAATATTTGTATCCTGAGTCACTATTACAAATACTGAGCACAATGTTTTGTGGTCCTCCCGGTGGAGTTTGACGCTGTTTTCCAGATATTTTTTAAGTTTAAAGACAGCTAAACTGCGCACTGTGATTGAAATCAGTGGGGCCGCTATCAGAATTTGTACATGCATCAGTGTCGAGCAAATGTAGTCACATGACTAGTGTTCAGAAAACAGCCTGAGTGGACTTCACCATTTGCACAATTCCAATAGCATGAAGGGTTAAGGTCCGCTAGCACTCCCAACTACATAACTATCTATTTAAAGTGTTTGTTAACAGCAGTCTGTCACTGAGCAGAAACGGATTCTGGGAATATATGGATCTGAGCATGACCTTCCCGATTTCTTTACAGCTCATCAATGCTAGAGAAAACTGATGTCCTGGCTCTGTTTGAGTAGTTCACAAAAAAAGATATAGTAATTGTAGGAAAATGTAAGTATTTGTGCATCCCTAGTACTAAATATTGCTATGATCACATTTCGAAACAACCAGACTGTTCTTTCAAAMGAACTTCAGACATTTCTAAAGCAGACTCATATTATTCATGGTAGGATGAGGAGTACTTGAGTTTGTGATTTTAGTGAGTTAAAAACTTCTTACTGTACACCGTATGCCTCCTGCATGGGCATCACAACAAGACACACACCTGTTTTCTGACAGCGTGTTTGAGTATTTCTTGTATTTTTTTTTTCATTTTTCTTTTTTTCGTCCTTTCGGTTGTTAAAGTACAATAATTTACTCAGTGGATTAAGCTTACTGGAACATAAACAGGGTATAATGCATCTTTGATTCACTGTGCAAGAATTAGTTATTTACAACCTGCCCCAACCTTAAAAGTGTGCAAAACCAACCCCCCCTCCAAAAAAAAAGAAAAAAAAGAAAAAAAAGAAAAAGAAAATCATTCTAAATGGCTTCCATCCAATACAAGCATACATAAAGATAAATGTCTTTTTAACAATGCATCCCCTTTAGAAAGCTTCAAAACATGCTCATCAGTCTAAAAAATAAAGAGAGAGAAAAAAAGAAAAAAATTGTAACAGTTCAGTTGTGCTCCCGTTAATTCAAGTGAGCCCAGCTCAAGTGGGTGCAAAAGAACTAAAAAAATACCCCAAAACCCCCATTTATTGTTTATTTTTTACAACATCTGCTATAAATTCAAATACAGCATCAAATTCACCGTTTTCACCATCAGAAAGAAGCAAGAGGGGGTTCGGACGAAGAAGAAAAGTGGTTTTTTTTTTTTAACTACAAGCAGCATGATCGACATTGCAGGAAGTAAATCTTTATCATCATCCAATATTTCTTAAATCTTTTTTTTAGCAAGACATTTTGCACATTTAAGGCAGTGAGAAAGCACCAATAATGCTGTTGCCTTGTCTCAGCTCTTGGCTGATGTATAAAATTGTGTAAAGGATGCAACACTTTTTGATCCTTTTTTTTGGTACCTCATAGACAAAGATGGATGCAGATGCTGAGCAGGAAAACCAAATGAACTTGCAGTGGTCTGCATGCACTTCTCAGTCAAGTCTTTTTCTCTTTTTTTAAAGTCTGATGCATTTGTGTTGCCTTTTGAATTTCCCTGCTGCAGAAAACCTCACGGTTGTTTGAGCCAGGGTAAAGCTAATGTTGCTACCAATTTAAATGAGTCTGGGTGAGGCATGGTTTATCCTAAAGACGCCAAGGACCACTTAATCTGTTGTCTGTGGGTGGGTACATTTGGCAGTCAAATCAAAAGGGGAACGTTGGCACTTTTTCATGTTTTCTTCACAGTAACTGGGTGACGGGCAGACAGGACGCTCTCATTGTGCTTGTCATTGGCGTGAGGGGCATCGAGAAGTGGCTTGGCAGTGCCTGACACTGAAAATTAGGACAAGAGTCCAGCACCTTGTGGGTTAAATAAAAATAAGTTTAGGGCAGGAAGAATGGCTTTTTGTCATTTCTATGAGTCTAGTTGGGCTCAGCTGTATRCTAAAAGAATAATCCAGCCCATTTGAAGAGGGCTGGACCAAACTGACAAGCTAGCAACTAAGAGAAGGGGGTCTCTGCAGTCCCTAAGTGAGTTTCTTGGTGTGTGTGTGTGTGTGTGTGAGGAGGTTGTTAATTATGGAATTGGTCGGATTGACTATTTTGGATTTGGTTTGAAGAAATCATAATGATTCGGTTGGATGAACCCTGGGTAGCTGGGGGAATGTGTAATATGATTAAAAAATATGTAATCTAAATATTAATATTAGTCATAACTCTTGACAGTAAGTTGTTTGCTGCACCAAATTTGAAGGCAATAATTTATATTTACATGTTCACAACAATTCTATTATTACTATTACTTTATCTTTTAACCCAGCCCACATGACAAGTCAACCCGACCAATCATGGTTTCGCCAAACTCTGCCCACAGGCCAAAGAACTCCCCTTGTGTACTGCTGAGACCCCTTGAGTCTGAATGCAGCTAAGAACAGAGTGGATTGCTGCCATGGTACATCTCCAATCCCAAATTTTTGGCTAGTGGTGGGTAAATTTTCGCTAATCCGCTAACAGCTAATAGTGGAGCTAACTTTTCGTTTAGCAGATTAGCATTTTTACAAACTTTGCAAAGGGGTAACGAAGCAATTCACTTCCATTCAATTTAATTTTGCTAACTTTAAGTCCGCTAACAAAAACCCAATGTAGATCATCAATCAGCATTATGAAAGCAGTTCATAGAAAGAAAATTCCATTCCAAAACTGGTTTCTGCCTTCTTAAAGAAACAACAGTCTTGTTCTTTTAAAATTCTTTCATGTCAGTAATATTTTAACTTTAACGTCGTCAATTTTCACAACATGGTTAGAAATTTGGGTCAGCAGGAATTTTATAATTTTACAAATTGCTGCGGCTATTTGCACCTTAAACCACTTTTGTAAGTAACTATGCATTGCAAAATGGACAGCGATAAGATAAAACAGTGTTTGCAATATTTACCATACAAAATTTTTAAACTGGTGGTTATTGATGACYGTATCAATCCAATTTGATTCTGGCTGTGTTCAGACTAGCTGCTAGATTGTTAGCTGTGTTGAATTCAAACAATTTTTTCAGTCTGGGGCTGTTCAAAAAGCTGTCTACAACAGATAAGATATGTATTATTTATAGAAGTCTATTTGAAAAATATTTGGCCTATCTTGTAATATCTACCATGTTTGTTGTAATGAAGATTAAAATTGAGAACAGCTATAGAAAAAAGTATAATTTAGCCCAAAACTGATGGTCAGTGAAGAATCCAATTTGAGGGAAACCACAAGATTAACACGCCATGAAAATAATCTAATCCCGCTCCATCCTTTTCATTCCACTTAATACATAAAATTAGAACTCCAGGTCTTAAAAAAGTGGTGGCCATCGTCAGTGACACTTTGGCAGGCTGGATGATGGATCAGATGAGCTTGAATTGATAAAACTTTCAGATGTAAAGGAGATTCTCCTCCTGCCGCCGCTCAATTAAGTGCATTTATGAGTGTGTGTCTGTGAAAAGCACCACTGTAAACAAAGAAAGACATAAACAATAGAAATTCCCCTCCCAATGTAAACATCATTCGATAAAATCGGGTTAAAAAACAAAAATAAAAATCCAGCTTTGCCACATTAAGTTCTTGGCTTTGTATAGATTTGTGACACTTTGGAGATGGACGTAAACATCAGAGAAACTGAAGCTTCTCATCAGAAACATCTCAATCAGAAACATATGAAAAGTTGTTTTTCATAAAACTTTATATGCCCTTTGAAAAATAAATTCAGTAAAGTAAACATGATCCATGCATCAGTGTCGAGCCACTGAGGACTGAGTTGGTGACACTGTTAAAAACATAAATTACTCTGATTTAATATTGCACTGTCACTGTAAAAATTAGGCCTTTTTCTTTCGAGATCCTTTCTGAGTTATATATCTTTTCATACATCACATATCTGTGAACTAAGTGTAACCAGCGATGGCTCAAAGGTTTTCCATAAGCTGACGGTTCCAGGTGTACCAGAGACGGGTCTCATAGGGCCGACTCCAGCGAGGAGTCCAGCTGGTCGTCATGGTGACTGGTGCTGTCGCTGTCGCAGCTCTGTGTGCTCGAGTAGTTGGCCGCTTCCTGCAGCCGCAGCAGCATGTTCATCTGTGAACAACAACCAGCAAGATGTTAACAGAGACCACGAACAGAAAACTGAACACAGATGAAAATAAAAATTAATTTACACTTTGTAGTAGCCTGGCCCTTGCCTCCTACACAGTTCCGCCCAATTCTCATTTCCTTTCACTGGTCCGTTTGGGATTTCTCTCATAGACAAGGATTTCTTCAGGAGAATTTCGATCAGGCCAATCAGCAAACAGAAGGCGGAGTTTTGAATGTCGATTTTCTGCACAGTTTATCGATGGCAGTGGAGGAGGTGAATGAAGCCAGTCCGTGCTGATAAGGCTTCCAAATTAAAATAAATTTGTCTGACAAAGCAGCAGCTCTCATTTACAGCCATCTCGTTCGGTAGGGTTGTTTACAGCACACACAATTTCCGGTTAGCTTCTTAGCTTAGCCTCCTTCACAGTGGAGCTGGCATACACATACGTCYCGTCCAACCGATCCAATCATTTTAAACTTCAACAGAGGCCACGCCTCCATCAAGAATTGTTTCTCTGCAGCCGAGAATCCAGATCTTTGTCTGAAGCAAAGCGAAGGACAAGGGGCTGGTTTTAACCAGGCTAACTTTGTTGTAAATGGATGTATGATTGTCCACAGCACCCTAAAAAAATGCACATAAGTGGTCCGACACGGATGGTTTTTCTTTAGTAGTTAAGTAGGTTTTGTTATTTTAAAATGTTTGTCCTTTTAAATAATATTTGTTAACTTACTTGGCCCATTAGCCTGTTAGCCTCCCTCCCTGTTTCATCACATTTGATTATTAAAGTGTACATTCCACAAGTCGACGTGTCGAGCAATTGCTCAAAATGACTACCTTATGTACACTCACAATACATTCCTATTAGGCACTTCAATTTTTAAAATTTGTCCAGAAACTGCAAAATTTAACCCTAAAATAATATCCTATGTGTTACTCTCTGTACAAGTAGGCCTGCCTTAAAAAATACAGACCACTTATCCACAAATAAGCTTTTAGTAAGTTTTACCAGCAACATGTAAGAACAGTCATCAAAACAAAGAGAAGCACGCTAACGTTAGCTTAGCATTATATCTAACTCCTCTGCATCATAACAATAAAAAAAATGTGAAAATTCGCTACAAGCTTTGTAACTCTGTGTAGAATAAAATATTCTGTTATGAAACAACAAAATTACATATGTTTTGCCTAAAAACAGTTGCTGGACTGTTTAAAGCTTCAGCAAACTATCTGATAACACTCTTGCTCCAGTCTGAGCCCACCACACCTGCTACTAGCATGTTGAATCATGTTGCTGGTCTGCATGTGGACCAAATTAGGCCATTACTTTTGGATATGTAACAGTTTTTATTTTTAATTTTGATGTGTTGCTGCTCATATGGGTAGAGCAGTGGTATTGCAGGCTAATTTGCGTATTGGTTGACGACTCTCCAAGGTGACGTGCCTTCTCCACGGTTTCGTCACAGCAGCCATGTTCTGGTACAAAAGCCTCTCTCTATGACACGCCCCTGCAGCAGTCAGAGGGTGGAACAGCTAGCAAGCTTAGCATGATCGTCTGTTGACCTTCAGCCTCCCTCAGCCTCGGGTGGGGAGAGGAGCTGACTGCTGCTCTCTCTCTCTCTCTCTCTCTCTCTCTCTCTCTCTCTCTCTCTCTCTCTCTCTCTCTCTCTCTCTCTCTCTCTCTCT